GATTGGCTGGCGGCGGTGGCCCGCGGCACGCGCCCGGGGATGTCGTTATAAGACCCCTCGCGTGCCGGCCCGCGGCGCCAGCGGCTCCGGCCACCTCCCCGGAGAGCGGCGGCGCTGCCCGGCCTCCCGCCACACACGGCCGGGCAGGGCAGGGCGGGGGCGGCGGCCCCGCCACCGCCGGGGCGGCTCGGACAGCGGGCCGGCGACAGCGGCTGCGGGCGCGTCCCGGCGGGGCTGCCCCCCTGCCCCGTCCCGTCCCGTCCGCGCCGGGACCGGGAGCGGCATGGAGACTGTGCTGCTGGAGCACTTCCCCGGGGGGCTGGACTCCTTCTCCTCGCCCCCCTACTTCGACGAGGAGGACTTTTTCTCCGATCCGCCCCCGCGGGACGTGCTGGCCGCGGACGGGCTGCTGGAGCCGGACGTGGATTTCCTCAGCCGGCAGCTGCAGGAGTACTACCGCGACGGCGGCGACCCCGAGGGCGGCTACCGCTGCCCGGCGCCGGCCGCCGCCTTCCCGCCGTCTCCCGCCTCGCCCGGTTTCGCCTACGAATGCTGCGGGGCGGCGGGCACGGCTCTCCTGTCCCCCGGGGGGCGGCTCCAGGCKCTGGGTTCGGCCAAGCGGCGACGGCGGGTGCGCTCCGAGGCGGAGCTGCAGCAGCTCCGTCAGGCCGCCAACGTGCGGGAGCGGCGGCGGATGCAGTCCATCAACGACGCCTTCGAGGGGCTGCGCTCGCACATCCCCACTCTGCCCTACGAGAAGCGCCTCTCCAAGGTGGACACGCTGCGCCTGGCCATCGGCTACATCAACTTCCTCAGCGAACTGGTGCAGTCCGACCTGCCGCTGCGCAGCGCCAGCAGCGAGAGCCCCAGCCAGCCCAAGAAAATCATCATCTGCCACCGCGGCACAAGTAAGTGGCGGGCCGACGCGGCCCGGTACGTCCCGGTGCGGACCGGCACCGTGCTCCGCAGGAATGCCGGCCCCAGCAATAACCCCCTGCCTTCCTTTTCCCCCCTGCCCTCCAGGATCTCCCTCTCCGAGCGACCCCGACTACGGACTCCCCCCTCTGGCCGGTCACTCGCTGTCGTGGACTGATGAAAAGCAGCTCAAGGAACAAAACATCATCCGGACAGCCAAAGTGTGGACCCCCGAGGACCCGCGGAAGGTGAACAACAAACCCTCCGTCAACGACATAGAGAACGAGCCCCCCTTCGACTACGTGGCGTGAGGCGCCGCGCGGGTGGTCCCCGCCCCCGCCCGCTCTGTACATGCTGTATGTAGAGACCTATATTGTAAATGTAATTTAAGATTCAGACTCTAATGGCAATCAACTTTATTTATCTATTTATTACGGAGTAGTGATAATGAGGTAGAATCGTCTGTTTTGAATATCTAATTTATATAATTTATCTTGATTTTTTAAAAGATATGCAATAGGTTTATTCCACCAGCACCTTTTTTTGTTGTTGTTGGGTTTTTTCGTTTGTCTGTTTTTGGGGTTTTTTTTTTTAATGGGGGTAATATGCCAGAACCTGTGAAAATAATTTATTGCCACACGTGGACTCTCATTGTGTTTGTTAATAATAAACCCGAATTGTACCTTGCGGAGCAGTATATTTGTGGGAAGCGGCTGCCGAGAGCCCCACCTCATCCCGAGGAAGCCTTGCAACGAACGCCTGGACGGGTCTCCAGGTGGGGTGAGCCCCGAGACCCAGGGCACCCTCGGCCCAGATGCTGGCCCCACTCTGCCCCATTGACGGCTCGAGATGCTCTTATAGCGCCGTGGGGACAGGGACAGGCGGGGACACACTTTCGCCTTCTCTCCACCCCTTTTGACGTCCTCTCCTGAAGTGCTTCCAACTGATGTCTTTGTCTATGTCTAGAAGGTCCCCTCCTTTCGGTGCCTCTGCACTGCTTGTGGTTTCCAGATCCGAGGCCCCAAACACAAATCTTGMGAGGGTGTGTGTCCCTCTCCTTGTACCCCCGAGCCCACCGCTATGGGAATGGTCGCGCTCTCAGGAGCCTCACAAAGCTGTTCCCGAAAGTTGCCGGGGAGGGAAGGACGAGACTGGGGCCCGGGCAGGCTTGGGATTCTGCCGGCTGTCCCCAGCCTTTCGCGGCTCTCCAACCGGCCGCCCCTGGGAAACAGCCCTGGCGCTCCTCACCCTGGGGATGCCGCTGGGGGCGAGAAGGGGGCAGGGGAATGGCAAAGCCATCGTGCAACTGGTGGCAGAATCGCTCTGGTAGCCCCAACCCAGCGTGCCCGGCTGCGGAGGGGACGGCTGGGCTGCACCTGCCCGGGGGCGAGGGGTGGGGGCGGCAGGGGCCGGTCGGGCCGGGGGCTGCAAGTGCTCCCGGCGGGGGCGGGGGGGCGGCCCGGGGCTTGGGCGGGGGGCTCGGCCCGACGCCGCAGGTGCTGATTTTCCCGTGGCACCCGCGGCTCAGCCCCGACGGCTCAGCCCCCGGCAGAGTYCCAGATGCCCAGCCCGGCCCGCGGCCGGAGCAGAGCTGTCCCCGCGCGGTGCCCAGGCGGATGGGAACGGCCCGGGTGAGCCAAGGTATAATTATAACTCATCATATACTGTACATCTCTCCCTCTCCTTCCTTTTTTTTTTTTTTTTTTTTTTTTTTTTTTAAATTCCCTTTATTTTGTTTTTTTTTTTTTTTTTTTTTTTTTTTTCAAAACTGCCTCAAAGTGGGAGCAATATGTTGCATGCATGCTAATTGCATTAACCTAGTTAAACACATTTAGTTCCCTAGCGCGGATGGCATGGATCTATTCCAATAGCAATTAGAGGAGCTACTTACACACACAAACACGCCGAGGCTGGCCCGGGGCGGGGGTTGGGTGGGGGGCTCATTGCTTATTTATTTGCTCACTTTTAGCGCGACTCCGGGCTGCGGCGGGGCTGACCGGCCGCAAGCCTCGCCCCGTCCGGCGGCAGGCGGGCGGCACCGGTGTCATTGAACTTAAACGGGGCTCTTTGAGAGAGAAAAAGAGCCGACCTATAATTCGATCTTGTCCTGTATTAGGACCTCATTAAACACAGAAAGTCGCTTTTTCACAAATGCTTCCATCAGGCATGTAATCTCATTACACTCATTAGAAAGTCAAATGTTAGTCGGACTTCAGCTTAATTATAAGTTATGGAAGTGTTGTACCGTTTCCTTCTGTGTATAGCCTCTTTCGTCTCRATTGGCTTTGGTGATGCGATCCCCCACAATTAAAACACTACAATCATTGTTATGTGGCACCTTTTCTTTGGCGTGCCACTTTTTTGTGATTCAATGCTTCAACACATCCTTTAGTATGGTGCAGATGAAGCGGAAGAGCCGGCGTTCGCATGTAAAGCACCAGGGTCTCTATCTTGTCACTCTCCCGTCTTGACTTGGCAAGTCCCTTTAAACGCAATCTTCAAAGAGACTGACAGCTCCTTTTGACTGACTCATCATCCATTCACCCCAGCGCCGCGCTCCTGCGACAAAATCCGCCGCACAGGGCAGGAGGGAACCGCCTGTGCAGGTCCCCCGGCCCAGAGGGACCCGGCAGGACCCGGCGGCTCCCGCAACGCCGGCTCGCAGCTTTTGAGGCAGCTTTGGGGGGCTTTACTGGTGGGGAACACGGCTCGGCGCGGTACGGACCAGCGTGGGGAAGGCGTGACTGGCAGCCACGCAACCCCGATTCCCCGCCACCTGCCCCYTCCTCCCCGCGGCCGTGAGCTGCACCTTCCAGCGCTGCCCCGTCAAGCCCCGTGGGCAGTGGCTACGGTCTCTCTGCCCGGCTCCCAGAGCCCCCGCTGCCCGCCTGAGACCCCACGCCTGCTCCCGTGGGGCCGCCCCGCCGCGGTCGCACTGCCCCGACGGCGCCCCGAGGGGGGGGGGGAGACCCGCCCGGGAGCCGGGACTGTCCCGCCTCCCTCCGCCGCTCCCCCCAGCCCCGCATCCCCGCGGGAGCTGAGAAGCAGGGCAGAAGAGAACAAAAGGGGGGGAAATCCCCAGCYCCGCTTGGGGTAGGAGGGAGTGTTAGAGGCACTTGCAGGCGGTTTGCTTCCCGCAGGCTCACAGGAGGGTGGTGCGGACTCTAAGTGTGCGGGTTGATGCTGTCCTTCCTGAACCAGCATCACTCGTGATGCCCCAGGTGTGAAGATAATTACCGAAATGGACAATCCTCCATAAAAAAACCCTAAACCCCAAACCCCGACAACAACACAAAAAAAAAAAACAAAAAACCCACTCAAACCCCTAAACAACAAACAAAACCAAAAAACCACCAAGCCCCCCACCCAAAGGACGGGAAGCATCAGACCGCTCGCTGCACAGCCAGCAAGGGGATGGGAAGGCGTGCGTGACTTCTCAGCAGAGCTGTGCGCAGGCCGTGGGCACTGTGAACCCGTCCCGCCGCGGTTCCCAGGGCCTCTCATCTGCCGGCAGTCGAGAGAGCGCCCTGCGAGGCGCGGGGCGTGAAGCCTCCCCAGCCCGGGATCTCATCCCTCTTTCATTCACGCATCTCTCGCTGGCACCGAGTACCAGCTGCGAGGTCGAACAAACACCAGTTGAGTGTCCCCTGGTAAACCTCCCGCTTTCCAAAGCATCCCGCAGCCGGTGGGAATGGTCCTAAATAACTCCACAACAAACCGCGCTGCCGAGACCTGGAAGCGTGGGCGGGAGTCGATTCCCACGACGGGGCCGGGGTCTGGCCAACAGGTGCTCGGGTTTGGCGGAGGGCGCCGGGGGAGCCCGGGGAGGCAGAGCCTCCGCTGCCAGAAAGCAGCCTGCTCCGGCGCCTCCGGCTTTACATGGCGTGGAAGCCGCAAACAATCGCAATGATATCTTTATTGCTAGGTTCATGTCCTGGGCTATAACATATCAATCCCTGTCGTGGTTCTCTCGGATGCACCTGGTATTTCAAACTTGTTCTTTTTGTGCTTCTGGGTCCTGGACTGCAGCTGCCTAAAGCGAGCAAAGAGAGAGGCCCTTACAATGTGTCCAAGACGTGTTGGCATGGTTTGCTTGTCTTTAATGTACCATTAACTATTGTCTTTACACAATATGGGAACTGTAAAGCATGACATGTGTTATAATAAAACACATTTTCAACGATACACTTGGACTAGGCGCTGGGATGCAAGCAAACAAACAGGCCCAAATCTTGTTTTGTCTCCCTCGCTAAGCCTACTGGCAATTAAACTTAAAACCACTGCTTTCCCCTGATCAGCCAATTAAATTTTATGTCTCCTAATTTTTCACATAGAAAAAAAGTCTCAGTGCCGGCCCCTAAAGACATTGATTTTCTTGCTATCACCTGGCGCTCAGACCTTAGTTCCATTTATCAAGAAGGGAAACGTCAGGCGTTACATAAAGTGACTCTGTTACCATAAGGCTCTCACCATCCTGCCCTATTGTTTTCCCTTGTTAATAACTCATTACCAGGATTTAACAAATCAACCATTACATATGTTTTGTGTCTCCATATTTTGATCCGTACGATTAAGCAGATGTTACGATTGAAAATTGAAAAGTCCAAGGCTACTCTCGTCTGAAAGAAAGAGGGCAGCCTCAAACAACGAGCTAACAATGAGATTCAGAAGATCTTCAGAAAAACATTTACGACCAATAAACAGACTCCAACCTGCTCCATTTCAACCATTGTGCGCCTTGGGGGAATAATTAAGTTGAATAGGAAGAGGTCCGCGGGGTTTTCAATGCCAAGCCCACAGGTGCGGGGTGGCACGATGAATGATCCGCCTGATTTTTGCCAGGCTCAAGGGCCCTTCTCCTGGCCGGGCGAGCAGATACGAAATATTGTCATTTCTTTTAATTCACAGCGTTACTCTCAGGGTGAACAAAGGGGCGGGGGATGAATGGCTCCGGCTGCAGGCAAGGCGCGCCCGGCCGCCGCTGGCCTCTCCGGAGACCGCCCG